CGGTCGGGGTGGGGCTGTCCCCTGCCCCTGCCGGCGTCCGCTGGCCTCTGCATCTGGGTCCTGGCCTGCACCGGCCACAGCTCTGCTGAGCTCTGCCTGCACTGAGTTGTCCCCCGGGAGAGTCACCAAGCTGGCTGAGGGCGTCTTATGTTGAAGGAAGCGCTGTGAGCATATCAGTGACGGGGTGACCTAAGTCCTACCTTTGCCTCCTCAGAAATGTGCCTGCCAGGGGCTGGGGAGGGTCCCGGTGAGCTCCCTGCTGCAGACATGCTGTGTGACTTGGGGATGGTGCCTTCGCCCTTTAGGGGTGTTGGTGGCCATGAGGGGATCAGCCTGCACGTCCTCAGGGTCCTGGAGGGAAGGGGTGGTTCCTGCTTCCCCCGTGCTGCTCCCCAGCTGGCCCTGGGTGCTCCCCCCACCAATCCAGGCGCCCGCTTCGCCGCCACCCAGACGCTGTCCGCTGTCCGGGATCCCTCTCCCGGCAGATGCTCCCCCGCCCCCCTTCCTCCCGTCCCCGTGACCCATGATTTCGTGACCTGGTTTTCCTTTGCCTTCTGTTCGTCGGGCCCGGGGGCTATGAGCGTGGACTGGTGAGCCTCGGGGAGAAGAGGAGAGGTGGGAGCAGGAACGACGACTTCTGTGGAACCCCTTTGGTTGGGGGGACGTCGCACTCAGAGAGCCAGCAGGCCCCAGCGGAGCCCACGGCTCAGGCCGAATCCCCCACCACGTCTGCTTGTCCTTTGGGCCAAGGAGAAACCTCGGTCTACCCAGTTGAGGGGGTCAGCCACCCCCCCAAACCCGACCAAGACACCTGCTGCGTTAGCGGTGGCCACACAGACCCTCCGTCTCCTGCCCCCCACCCCCACCCCAGCCGCCCTCTGGTGTCTGACCCGCGGTCAGAGAGCTTGCGTGTGTCTGTCCCGTCATGAAGGTCCGTGGAGAGATGCTTTGGGGACCTCAGACAGAAACCTCAACGTGTGTTTTCACTCTGGCTAATCTGGGTCTGAAAGGTGCCGTCTGGAACATCCTTCCGGCCCCTGGCGGTCAGCTGGTCCAGAGCCACGGCTGTCACGGGAACACAGATGAGCCCCAGTGAGCAGCCTCCACAGAGGTGCCAGGCAGGCCCCCTAGAGGCCACATGAGGCCTCGCTCTGCTGGACACGGGGGGCCCGGAAACCCACCCGGGGCTCCTGAGACCTTGGGGAGACTTGGGTCAGGAACCCAGTGAGGCCAGAGAGGTGTCCCTACTACGGACCCTCCGTTGTCCTCCCAGGACAGGTGGCGCCCGAGGGTGTCTGTTGATGTATTGTTCCCTGGAAACCCCACCCAGTGTGGACCAGGGGTCTCGACGGATGGGCGGTCCCTGAAAACTCCCTTTGTCTCTCACTATGGACGACACTTGGTACATGAAGGGCAGGGTGGGCCCGGACACACAGCTACCTGGTTAAGGGGACCGGATTCTGGGTGGGTGGAGCAGGTTGGAATTTCCAGGTTGGCTTCCATAGCGACCCGCAAGTGGCGCCCTCTGGTGGCGGGGGTGGTCAGTTCCAGCTCCTTGGGAGAAATGATGGGTTCCATTGGCCGCGTCCATGTGGGGCTTCTGCTTCTGGTTTGAGTCTCTTGCACCCGTGTTGGAACTCTAGACTCGCGGGTTGTTACTCTGACGCTGGGAGTCCCTGTGGCAGAGTCTTGGGGAGAAAAAAGAGGCCACTTTACTTCACAAACCTAGGGAGGGTGTCACGGAGCCCGATCGTGCTGACGGTGGAAGAAGGTTCTCTGGGAGCCAGCTGGGGGCAGGGAGATGGTTTTCCGCGGAGCCAGGGTCGTCGGGGCATTCTTTGGGGCGGGGGGGGAGCAGGGGAGGCCTTTTTCTGCCAAGGGCCATTTGGATATTTACATCATCCGTGGGCCACGCAGCATTACCAGCTTAAACATGATGTCACAGTGAGAAAGTCCCCAGATTTAGTCCCGCCTGAGGTTGCCTTGGCAGGGCCAGACCGAATGACGTGGCCCATGGGCCGGACGTTCCCCACCCCTGCTTTAGAGACCAGAGGGAAGTCGGGAGACCTTCAGTCTTTCCATATAGAAACTCCAGCTCAGTGTCGGAGGCAGCCCAATGTCGGGGGGAGGTGGGGGGAGGCTGGGAGCAGCCAGCGGAGTGGACAGTAGGTGGAGGCCTGGGGGATGAGAGCAGGGTGGCCCGTCACTGACAGGGCCACGGGTGACTTCGAATCCCCCCAGGAAGGGCCGTTGCTCCCTGGCTGTTACAGTGATTTTTGCAAACACACTTTCACCCACATCGCCTCCCACCAGCCCCACGAGGACTGCAGGGCTGGCTTCTGTCTCCCCATTTCCCAGGTGAGAAAACCGAGGCCCGGCGTTTCAGATTCTCAGCTACGAAGGCGGACCCGCCAGTCAGATGCCCTGCCCCTCAGCCCAGGGCCCTTGGACATTCCCTGCCCCGTGGGGCTCACCCACCCTGGGCTGTCCTCACAGGCGGACAGAAATGCGGTCACGGGGCCAAGGAGGGTTTCTGAGCAAAGGACAGGGTGTTGGGAGGAGTGCGATGCCATTTCTTCCCCTCGGGCGGGTGGCCGGGGAGGAAGGGACGACGTGGCTGCTGTCTTTTGGTGACGGGCAGCTCTGGGGCAGTAGGTGCGAGAGCGGAGTCTGTTTGGCTGAAATGAAGGGTCAGGGAAGCCGCGTGTCCGAACAGGGTGCCCGGAGGGACAGCGCCTGCAGCTTTTCCGCCGCCTCTGCCTGTGGCCCCTCTGCCTCCAGACGTGTCCCCCAGGCGAATCGGTGATGCGGTGCTAGCTTAACCAACGCCACGGTGCTGCCTCGCGGCGGAAGCTGGCTCCCAGCCTGGGGTGGGGCAGCAGAGGCACCCGGAAGCCCTTGGAAGTTCTCGGGGAGGCGGGGAGACCTCGGTTCATCCTCCACCCCCACGTAATGTGCTTTCTCATCAGTAAGGCTCGACTTCTTCACGCGCCCCCCCCCTTTTTTTGATAGCAGAGGTTACCCGGGATAAGGGTGCTCCTGTATATTGTACATGACACTTGATACTTTACAAGACGTTTAAAGAATTATTTTCCACGAAATGTACAATATCTGTTTAAGAGCATCGTGGTAACATCTCCTCACAACGTCCAGATACTTGGCGTCCACCTGTCAGCTGGCCTTCGTTCCAGATGCCGAGGAGACGGGAGTGGCCCACTCGTGCCAAATATCCTGCTGGAGAGACATCCCCAAAGCTGCCTTAATTCTCAGAAGGGGTTCCTGCCCGGGCGGGAGGAACCATTTTGCAGCCCTGGTAACGCGAGGCTGAAGCATTCTTACCAAAGAAGTCATTTCTTAGCCAAGAGGCCCCCTCGAGCTCATTTCATTTGTTTATTTCCTTTGAAAGCCCTGGGATGGAGAAGAACAGAGAGGGAGTGTGGGCGGCGGAAACGGCACAGCATTTAGAGTTGCAGCTGACCAGCTGGGTTCCTGGGAGAGGGGTGCATTTTAAGTTCTTTGCCCATAAAAGCAGGTTTGGATCAGATAATCAGAGGTCCCATCCAGTGTAGAAAGTTTCATGCCTCCCTGACAATGTTCTTGTGCTCAATTTACAACAAAGGAAGCCCGTCGCTTACTATTGAACTTTCCAGGATGATCTGGTGACTTAATAACCTGTGGAGCAGAGAAAGGTCAGACATCTGGCCTCCAGAATTTTGTTTGCTTTTTTTTTTTAGACATTCAGTACTTTCTCCCGTATTTCTTCGCCTGATGCCAGAAACATTTAGTATTTGAAAAATAAAATCCAACCCTTTTGTTTTGAGGACTTAGAAGGAAACCTGTGGCCATGACCTTGTGAGTCCCGGGATCCACAGGTCTGTGGCTACGGCCGCAATCGAGACGTGACCAAACTACGGGTGCCCTTGAACGTGCTCTTGGGGTGCCCGCCCTCTCCCCGCTGTTTCTCCACTTCCTTGTAAATAAGGACAGTCTCAGTGGTGCCCTCTCTGTGTCATGGACTGTTCCGACGTCATGCAGATTTCTATGTCTGGTGTGGGTTTATTTCACAAGCTGTTCTCTTCATGGAAAAACAACTGTATAGATAATAAAGGATATTCCTGTGCCATGGATCTGCTAGTGGCGTTCTTTCTGCCATGAGACTAAAATACTATGAATTGCTGAATTTTTCTTTTAAAAAAAGATTTTTAAAATTGATTTTGAGAGGAAGAGAGAGAAAAATCGATGTTTTTAAAAGAAAAATTCAGCCCTAGAAACAGAAAAGGCAAAACTAGATAACTAACCTGGTGTCACTTGGTCTGCACTTTCCATTTAAATATAAATGTGTCCATCTCAGAGCTAGGAGGAGAGATCTAAACCCCTTCAGTCTCTCGCTCCAAGGGTTATAAGAAGTTATTTGGGTGAAAGGTGGGCCACTATGACCAGAGGCTCTTCTATACCATTTGGGGGCTGGTCAGAGACAAGCCTCTGTGATTCATAGCAGAGGAGAAGCCCACGTGTTTGCTAATTAAAGGTCAGCTGGGTGTGTTCGCCTCGTCCAAGGTGCTGACTGATGTTCCTCAGGTCTCAGTCCTGGGGATCCTTGGCTGTGAGGTTGGGGTGCCCCTAACCTCCCTTTGAACAAGGCTGGGCAACTTGAAGAATTAGAAAGAGAGCAACAAGAAAAGCCCAGAGTGAGCAGGAGGAAGGAAATAATAAGTAACATAGAGACAAAAAAAAAACAACAACAAATAAAAAGATCAATGAAGCCAAGAGCTGGTTCTTTGAAAGGATAAACAAGATGGATGAATCTCTAGCCAGACTCACCAAGAAGCAAAGAGAGAGGACCCAAATAAAATCAGAAACAAAAGAGGTGAAATAACAATAGACCCCACAGAAATACAAAAAAGTCATTAAAAAAAAATTACAATGAGCAACTTTACTCCAACAAACTGGTGAACCTAGAAGAAATGGACATATTCCTAAAAAATACAACCTTCCAAAACTCAACCAGGAGGAATAAAAAAATCTGAATTAGGCTGATAACTACGGAGGAATTGAAGCAGTCATCAAAAATCTTCCAACGAACAAAAGCCCAGGACCAGATGTCTTCACAGGGGAGTGTTACCAAACATTCAAAGAAGAAATAAAACCTATCCTCCTCAGACTATTCCAAAAAATTCAAGAGGAAGGAGCACTTCCAAGCTCTTTCTATGAAGCCAGCATCACCCTAATCCCAAAACCAGATAAAGACACCACAAAGAGAGAGAATTACAGGCTAATATTTCTCATGAACCTTTGACCTCTGACCCTTGACAACTGACCTTTGACATTTGGCTCTCGTCCTTTTGACCTCTGAAACTCGACCCATTTACATAGATCTTTGACCCCTGACCTCCAACCCTTGACCTTTGACTCCATACAAACCAAACAGAAAACCTAGCCCTAACCCTACCCCGAACCACTAAACCCCAAACCTAGCCTGAGCCCTAGCCCAAGCTGGAGCCCTAGACCTAAAAACTAAACCATAACCCTAACCCTAGCCTTTTACTTCTGACCTTAACCATTGACCTCTGAACTCTGACCTTTGACCCATTTCCATCAACCCGTGACCTTTGACCCCAGCCTTTTACTTCTGACCCTTTGACATTGAGCCTTTGACCAATGACCGCTGACCTTATACCTTTAATGTTTGAAATTTGACCTTTGACTTCTGAACTTTGATCTATGAGCTTTACTCTCTGACCCATGACCCTAACACACAAATCTAACTGAAACACTAGCCCTAACCCTAACATTAAATATAACCCTACCCCTACCCCTAGCACTAGTCCTAACCCTAATTTTGTGCCCTCACCCTAGCCCTAACTCTGACCCCAGCCCTAGCCCTAACAGGCAGTCACTGCTATCTGGGCACTTTGCTGGGAGACTTGGTCTGGGGTTACGGTCCTGGCTCCACCCCTGAAGCAGGTGTGGCTATATGGATGCTGAACACAAGAGGGCAGCAGAGAATCACCCTCAGCCACGTGGGTGCCTCTGGCCTTGACTTAGAGACACGCCCAGATAAGGATTTTGAACCCATGCCCAGTGTGGGAAGAAAGGATAGCTTCGTGCTTAAGGACTCAGGCTCTGGAGCCAGACTGCCCAGGTTCATGTCCCAGCTCTGTCTCCAGGGCCCCAGCTTCACAGGCGTGACACCCAGCGTCACATGGGGACCTTCTCGCTCAGATGGGCTCCTCCATTGCTTGTCACCATCTTAATATTTTTTACAATAAGGGTGTTTTTATCGTGGTTTTATTTTTGCATAACAAATTATGTAGCTGGTCTTATCTGTCACTAGTTGAATTTTCTTGGGCCTCGGGTCACTGTGAAGATTCTTTGAATTAATCTGAAAATTTATTATGAAGACACAATCTCAGTTACTATATTATTACAGCATTTAAAGGTATAATCGCCAGATTACCAAAGGCTGCCGTCACCTCCACCTTGTGACGAGCCACCGACTGGCCATCTGTCAGTCCATCCACCTAGTCCCACTGCCAATCACTGGCTGGGGGACCATGAAAGTGAATCTGACCTTGGTCCTGAGCTGAGGAGCCCATGGTCTAAGAGCCAAGCCTCTGGTCACTGGCTAACACACCTTCCTTTCCATTCCTGGTGCCAGTGTACAGGTGAGCACAGGTGAGCCAGCAGCCACAAGGACTGAATGGCTACAGCCACCAGGATCTGAAAACAGACTCCAGTTCCCGCGGGTATACTCAGCTGTGTGACCGTGGGAAGGGCATTCCTCCCACTGAGCCCCATCTCATGAAGATAACCACCCTCCCTGCCCTAGGCAGTTTTGCTCAATGGATAGAACATGGGTCCATAGACTGAAGAGTCCGAGGTTTGATTCCCGTCAAGGGCACATACCTCTGTTACAGGCTTGATCCCTGGCCCTCGTCAGGGCATGAGTGGGAGGCAACCAATTGATGTGTCACTTCCACATTGATGTTTCTCTCTCTCCCCGTCTCCCTTCCATTCTCTCAAAAAAAAAATCATTGAAAAATATCCTCAGGTGAGGTCTAACAAAATAACCACCTCCCTGATCCTGGCTTGTCAGAAGACGGAGAGGAGACGTGGGCTGTGAACAGGTTGGATCTGTCACTGGGGGCTGCGTGTGATGGCTACCACCAGATGGAGGGTCCTCAAAGGGCATCCCCTCTCCATGCCTCTGTTCAAAGCCTTGGGCCTTTCCCGGCTCCAGGAATGAAGGGCAATGTATGTCTGAAAGAGCTGGTTTAATACCCTGGAGCTTGCGGAGCATGGAAAGCAGCTGTAGGCAGGGGCAGAGGGACAGGTGGTAGAGGGTGGTCAGGAGGACAGTGCCCTTCCCGCACGGAGGGGGTCCATCTGGGGATGGCCAGGCAATGCTGAAGAAAGAACCCCATCTTAGGGGAAGGAGGCCTGAGTTCGGTTCCAGTAGTTGAGACAATGACTCTGGGAGACTGGGAGCCAGGTTCTTGCCCTCTCTGGGCATCC